TATATATATATATATATATATATATATATATATATATATATATAAAAGGATAAATGACAATGCAACTTAATAAACATTTATTAAGCATCTATTTATTAAGCATGTATAAAGGGCAGCTAGGTGGCACAGTGGATAGAGCACCGGCCCTGAAGTCAGGAGGACCTGAGTTCAAATGTGACCTCAGACTAAACACTTGACACTTACTAGCTGTGTGACCCTGGGCAAGTCACTTAACTCCAATTGCCTAAAAAAAAAGATTAAGCATGTATAGAGCACACTGGGGGAGACAAAAAGTTCAGCCTGTGTCCCTGCCCTCATGGGCAGTCTAATTAGGGGTATATGACAAGTGTACAGATAGCTATAATTCACAAAATTATATGATAAGTTTGTGAGAGGCACAAAGTTCTGTGAAATTGAGGGGAATGATCACTAACAACTTGGGGGTATCAGGGAAGGTCTCATGGAACAGAGGTGGTACTTAAGCTAGGCTTCAGAGGGATAAATAGGATCTCAACAACTGAGTATTGTGTCTGGGAAAAGATAAGGGGGGCATTCCAGGTAGAGAGGACAATGTGAAGAAAGGTACAGAGGTGAGGGGGAAGGTGTAAGAGATATGCAGAGGACAGACAGTCATCTAGTTTGGCAGAAGTGTAGACTATATAGACAGGACTCATAGAAATATGAATGGAAAGGACTAAATCATTCATCTGTACCAGCCTGAGTGGGATCTGTCCATTCAACTCAGTGTCTATTGAGACCTACATTGCCACACTGGTAGCCACATGCCAAGCTCCAAGATTTATTTATTGCTGCCAGTGAATATTCCCCTTATCTCCCTCATCCTTTCCTAACTTCTTCCTCCTTTAGCCCTCAAGCTTCAGTTCTCCTCTGATCTTTGCCATTGGAATTGATTTCAGGTCACAAAGACTGAGGATCGGGTAGATGATGAGGATAGGTCCACAACTGTGATCCTTGGAGTGACCTCTTCAGTGCCAAGCCTGCCACTACCAAACATCTTCCTGATGGCTAACATCACCTGGCCCCACAGACATTTATCAACATGGACCAAAACCATCAATGCACCAACTATCACTCTTAGTAGGTAAACAAAATAAGTAAAATTAATAAACAGTTGAAGGAGAGGGCATTGGAAATACACTTTTATGACTGAATGTCTGGCATAGGGGCTACTCAATAGTTAGGGACAGAAAAAGAAAAAACACAAAGCTTTGGTCACCTAGGATTTAAATTTGAGTAATCTCATTATTTTGTTTCTTCTTCTTCTTCTTCTTCTTCTTCTTCTTCTTCTTCTTTTCTTCTCTTTCTCCTTCTTCTCCTCCTCCTCCTCCTTTTCCTCCTCCTCTCCCTTCTCTTTTTCTCCTTTTCCTTTTCCTCCTCTTCCTCTTTCTCTCCTCCTCCTATTTATTAAACTACTATGTGCAAGGAACTATATTAGATTTGGAGATATGATAACTTAAAAACAAAACAGTTCCTGCCTTCACAGAGCTTAATTCTAGTGAAGTACATGTCAGAATGTGCATATAAAAGTACATATGGAATATATATTCCAAAATCAATACAAGATAGTGTGGGGAAGGGAGGACACCAACAGCTGGAGGATTAGGAAAGGCTTCAGATAGAAGGTGGAACAAGTCTTGAAGTAAACTAGGCAGAGCTAAGGAAGGTAATAAATACATCATCATCATCAACAACAACAACAACAATATTATTGTTGTTATTACTATTAATATTTTATTATTTAGATAACAGAAGAAGGGGTAGAAGGTTAAGAAGCTAATTTAAAGAAGGAGGAAGTGCTCTGGGAATAGTAGTATGTGAACAATCTATTTTTTTTCTACTCCCCTGACTACTCCACTCACCCTTGTCCTTGTCTAGGAAGTCCATTCTCTGCTATCACGAAGGGAAATAGACTGATGTCTTTTTCTGGAATTATTAAAGCCAGAGATGTCCTAGGCATGTTGAGCAGTTGGACCTTTCCACTTTTACTATGGAATCTTTTCTTCTTCTTTTTTAGTTTAGCATTTTATTTTTCCCTAGTTACATGTAAAAACAATTTTTAACATTTGTTTTTAAAACTTTGAGTTCCAAATTCTCTCCCTTCTTCCCTCACCCCCACATTGAGAAGGCAAGCAATTCGATATAGATTACACATGTGTAGTCATGTAAAACATATCCATAATAGTCATGTTGTGAAACAAAATATAGACAAAAAAACTCAAGAAAAATAAAATTTTTTTTTAAAAGTATGCTTCAATCTGTATACAAACACCATTAATTCTTTCTCTGGGAATAGATAGCATTTTTAATTATAAGTTCTTCCAAGTTGTCTTGGGTCGTTGTGT